ATTGCCAATAGTTCATAGCAATCTTATGAATAGATCTGAGCCTCACCTTGTATTGCGCTTTACTCACCATCTCTAACATGCTCTAGCCATTATTCCAGTTGCTACATTAATCCACCTTGCTGAAAGTCTTCCACTCCCATTCAAACCTTCCACCTTTTGCAGCATGGAGTCTTTTTACAAGGACTGGTCCCACCTTACAACATGCCCAAAGTATGTGAGACAAAATTTCATCATCCTTGCCTCTAAGACCACTTCCTCGAGGACACATTTATTTGTTTTCTTTTACAATCATTGGAACTATTTAATACTCTTCTCTAACAGCACAATTATAAAGCATGGATTCTTCTGTAATCCTGATTCAATGTCCAGCTTTCAGATGCATAGGAAGCGGCTGACAAACCCTGGCTTATTTCTCACACCCCTTTGTCTTTAAACTGACATTACTGCTCTTTAGCACTTTGGAGAGGTCCTTGACAGCAGGTTTTTTCCCCCAAAAGTCAGCATGTCTTTTGATTTCTTGACTGTTCGTACCATAGATGTTAATAGTAGATCCAAATAAATCTTTGATCATTTGAATCACTTTTGCGTCTGTCATGAACTATCATCAACATTTATTTGATATTGCCTCAGAGAGGTTGTTTTTGTTGTTGTTATGTGCCATAAAGTCACCTGAGCCTCAGCGACTCTATGTACAACAGCTCTGAACCTTGCCCTATCCTGAGCCAGTCTCACTAACTCCAACACACCTCATCCCATCGCCTCAGTGATCGTGTCAATTCATGTCATCTGGAGTCTTCCTGTCCTGCACTGTCCCTCCGTCTTTCCAAGCATGATGTCCTTCTCCAAGGACTGGCCCCTCCTGACCATGTGGCCAAAGTATTTGAGACAGAGTTCTAAAATCTTTGCCCCCAAGAAGAAACTTGATTTTACCCTTTCCAAGAGAAACGTATTTGTTTCCTTGGTGGTCAATGGTATGTTCAATACTCCTCTCCAGTGCCACAATTCAAAGCCTTCAGTTCTTCCTTCATCCTTAGTTATCGTTCAGCTCTCTGATCTATAGCTTGCAGTTGTAAAGACCATTCCCTGGATTAGGCCTACTTTAGTTTCTAGATGGATGTTATTGCTTATCAGAACTCTAGAAAGGTCTCTGACAGATACCCCCATTTCAGTTTGTCTTTTGATTTCCTGACTGCTGGTGTGAAGAGTGTTTATTGTCGATCTAAAATTGTTAACAACCTCAATGTCTTCTCTATCTGTCATAGTGCTGCCAGTTGGCCCAGTGGTGAGAATCTATGTTTTCTTGATGTTGCGCTTCAATCCATGTTGAAGACTGCAGTCCTTGACCTTCTACAGCAAATGCTTCAGGGCCTCCTCAGTTTCAGCTAGGAAGATTGATCTACATAGCACTGGCTGTTGACGAGTCTTCTTACAATCTTGATGCCACATTCTCCCTCATAAAGTCCATCCTCTTTAATGATCTGTTATGCAGATAGACCAAACATGCAACCAAGATGCATTAATTAAACTGGTTTAGTAGAATGCAACAGTTGGGAACAGGGAGGAAGGATCAGTATTCAGAAAACATGGACTTGCTGACAGAAATGAGTCTGGAGATAGAATGATAGAATTCTGTACAATTAATGATTTATTTACTAAAAATACCTTTTATAATAAGCATAAATGCTGACTATATTCATGGATTTCATCTCTTGGTATACGCAGGAATCATATCGATTACATCTGTGTAAAGAATCCTTGAACAAACTCAGTATCAGCTGTGAAAACTAGGCCAGGTACTGATTGTGGAACAGACTGTCAACTACTCATATGCAAGTTCAAATTAAAGGTTAAGTCAAATGCATAGGAATCTAAATTTGACCTTAAATCTATCTCAAGGTCAATTTTAAAACTGTCTCAGAAATAGGTTTGAAGCCTTAAACACTAATGTTTAAAGGCCAGATAAGCTGTGGGAGGATATCAAGGTTATTATCCAGGAAGAATGCAAAAGGTCATTACAGACAGAGGAGGAAGAAAAGACCAAGATGGATGTCAGAAGAACTCTAAATATTGTACTAGAAGGCTGAGAAACCAAAGTAAAGGGAAAATACCAGTAAGTTAAGGACTCAAAAAGGTTAGGTTTTAAAAAACGTAATTACATCAAAGCACAAAATGGAGGGTATTTACATAATATTGAGAATTATGCTTTAACAAAATTGACACATTTTAAGGAGTATCTCATTTAATCTACAGTAGTTGGTTATGTGGATGCGGCCAGTATTTAGTTCCTCAGAGGCAGGTCTAGAGCAACAGAGGACTAATGCCTCGTTTTTTGGATTATGCGCAGAGTCTTTCTCACTTAGGGAACAAATTGGAAAGAACTAAATATTATCTCACATGATTTTCATATAGATGAAAACTTTTTGTCTCATAAAATAAAGGCTTGAGAGGATTATTTGTCATAATTGCTATTGTGATTGGTCAGAATTCCTCCTAGATTAGACTGCGTTACATACTGAGTGTCATTTTCAGTAATCAACGTCTAAGTATATGCCACTTGCTCTGTTTTACTAATTGACTATTTTTTCAATGAAAATGTGGATGAGACTCCATTATACTCCATTACATTTTATTCTTATGACACATGGGCTAAATCAGCATTAGAATGAAATTACACATTCAACAGCTTGGTTACAAGATTCATAATTTTATAGTTTAGGATAAATCATCTAATTTTTATGAAGACTGATTCTGGGCAAGATAAACCATGAAATGAAAATTATGGTTTAGTGTACATTTGTATCACTCAGATATTGTTGTTGTTAAGTGCTGTCAAGTCGCAGTGACCCTTTGTATGGTAGACCTCAACACTTGTATAACTTTGTTTTCTGCATGTTCATAGAGTTTCCAGATGCTAACTATTTTGGAAGTGGGTGCTACTCTTGCTTCCGAGCTTGTTTTAGTCGAGAAGCTCCACCAAACACTGTCCACCATGGGTAACCATTATCGTATTTGATACATCAGTGTCACAGTGTTCAGCTTCACAGCAACCATGAGTTACCTCTGTACAGCAAATAGACAGACCAGTGCTATAGCACTTAAAAGAATATTTGATCCCAAACTATTAAAACCAGGTCTGAGGGCCGCAGATTCAAACAGTAATTCAGATAAAAACTATGTATTCTGTTCTTGTGTTACAAATCTTTTGCTAAATAAACTCTGGAAATTGAGAATGATTAATATAGTTACAATACTTAAACTTGTAATTTGTGGTCTAGAAGGAAGTTATCGGTATTAAAGAAGTGATTATATAATTGATGACTTACCTATCATAAGGAAGGATGCATTATGTAAAACTTTTATTAAGCAACAGATAACGTAGCTGTTCTTGTTGTTATGTGCCATCAAGTCGCCTGCGCGACTCATAGCGACCCTATGTACAACAGCCCTAAACCATACTCTGTCCTGTGCCAATCACACTGTCTCTGACACGTGCACCCCAATTACCCGAGTCACTGAATCAATCCAACTCATGAGGGCCTTCTCTCCTGTGCTGTCTCTTCACCTTCCCAAGCGTGACATCCCTCTCCAAGGACAGGTTCCTCCTTGCAACATGTCCAAAGTATGTCAGACAAAGCTTCAGAATCCTTGACTCCAAGGAGAAGCCTGAATTAACCCTCTCCTGGATGAACCTGTTTTTTTCTTTTCCTTAGCAGTCCATGTTTATTCAATACTCTTTTCCAGCACCACAGTTCAAAGGTGTCAATTCTCCTTCTATTATCCCTAGTCATTGTCCAGCTCTCTGATGCATAGCAAGTGATTGCAAAGACCATGGCCTGGATCGAGTCAATTAATATATTCTCAGGGAGATAATGAACAGTGTGCAAAGAAGGATTTAATCTTATTCCTCCTTATAAATCTACTCATGTATCATAGAACCACTAGTAAGACTGACGCATTTTTGAAACTGATGAGTTTGAGGAATTGTATGACTGAATACTAAGTATAGTATACACACACACACACACACACACACACACACACTCACACTCTATATCTATATCATCTGTATCTACCTCTATATCATCTATATCAATCATCGATATCATCATCTACATCTCTATATCTCTCATCTATATCAGTCATCTATATCTATATCATCTATATCTCTATCTATATCTCTATATCTCTATCTCTGTCTCTAATCTATATATCATCTATATCAATCATCTATCTCATCTTTCTCTATCTCTCTCTCTCTATCTCGATCTCTATCTATATCTCTATCATCTTATCTATCTATCTAATCTATCTATCTATCATCTATAATTTCTTTTTTCATTTGGGGTAGCAAGTAACTCTTAGTTTCACTTGTTTGAACTATTGGTTAAAATTATCGTTTACACATAACTGTATTTAGGTGAGTTTTGGTCTAATCAGGTCATGTTTTATTTATGTGGAGTTTTTTGTGGGTCTTTTTTTAAAGCGTTTGCCAGTTTAGTTGTTCATAATGTGTATGATTTTTGACTTGTGTATATAAAACACGTATTTAATTATTTTTGCAGGCCAGCATTTTAAGTTATTGGATTTAAAATAACTCAACTTTATCTAAAAATTGCTTATGATGAATTAGATTGGTTCATATAATTTAGATTCAGACATATGTGAAACTCAGAGATATTGTCAACAAAGTAATATGGGTATTAACACTTTCTAGTGTATTGATAATAATATTACAACCATAATTAATTCCTTATTGAGTCCTTGAAAAAAGACATTAATTTTAGAGTAGCTGATCATTACATTAAAACCAACAATTATACATAGGAAAACATTGTGATGGTGTCAGCTATGTGCCAAGAAAAAATACATTGTTATATATTCTGAAATGAATAAATTTTGCTCTAATACAAGTCAAATTCCAAAGTGAAATTTGTTTAAAACTCAGCTGATAGACCGTAACCTGACCGGGTTACTAACTTGAATGTTTTCCATTTCATTAGCTATACCCAGCGTGTGGTTGGAAATGGAATCAGGGCGCAGTCTGGAAATCCTGAAGTGAAAGTCAAAGGGACTGATCCTGTAATCAATCAGATTATTGATAAACTGAAGCATATAATCCAGGTAAGACTGATCCTTTATTAGCATAATCTATAGGAGAAACTCCGTGGTATGTTTCTAGTGTATCTGCTAATCCTAAATAAAATTGAGCATTGACATAAATAGATTTGTTATTTTTATATGGAAAGCCAATCAATGAGAAATATTATTTTAATTTCTGGACAATCCATATCTCTGTAGAGCGAAGAAAAGCCTCAACATTTTGACAAATAATGAAATTTCAGAATAAATTTTATCCTTAATGAATAAGCTATAGAAGTCAATGAGTTAATTTCAGAAAAATATATACTGGAGAATGAAGGTAACAGGGTGGCGAAGGTGGGGAAAGGTTGTGATCTGCATGCACTGGGGGACTGAGTTGCAGTTGATTCAACAGCACATGACAACAAAAATCATCACCTCCAGGATAACCCTGTGCATCTTTCTGTGAAGACTTTTGCTGGTTTTGAACAAAAATAAAAAATGAGTGGTATACATTTATTAATTTTCTTTGTTAATTTTGCATGTGAAAGCTGGACAATGATGCCTGTGAGCTGAGATGCTGGAGAAGAGTATTGAGTAGACCATTGCTGCTAGAACAAACAGGTTTATCCCAGAGAGAGTGAGGCCAGGCTGCTCCTTGGAGGCAGGGAAACTGAACCTTTATCTGACATATTCTGGACATATTTCAAGGTGGGACCAGTCCTTGGAAAGGCATAACGTGTTTGGGAGGGTGGAAGGGCAGTGCAAGAGAGGGAGACTGACGATGAGATGGATTGATTCAGTAACTGGTGTAATGTGGTTAAATATGTCAGTAAGATTGTCACAGGATAGAGCAAGGTTTACGGCTGTTGTTCATAGGGTCGCTATAAGCTGCAGATGACTCGATGGCACATAACAACAGCAACATGTCAATTTTATTTAATCTAATAATGGCACTTGAAATAGTTCTATTTTACTGTTTATAATTATGTGTGCAATATATTGCTATTTTTAATGCATGAAATATATTCTATAAATTCTATGACTGTTGTTTAGAACCAAATGGTATATAAAGACTATGATTGTCATTATTGACATTTAAGGGAAGAAGAATTTTTTCTTTCCTTGTTTATACTTTTGCAATAATTTATGCCTGTGTACCTTTGATTGATACATGTTTCCAGGAAGACTATTTAGTGTCTGGGACAGCCCAAGTAGTACAGTGTCATTACTGCTTACTGTTCTGGATTCTTTAGTAATACTTTTCATAATTGTCATGCAAACTTTAAGAGTAGGTCAAGCCAAATGTTAGAATTCTATTTTCACTTCCCTTCAAGAAAATGATACATTGTTGTTGGGCACTGGTGGCCCTGTGGTAAGACACTGTGCTTCTATCCCAAAGGCACGTAGTTTGAATCCACCAGCTGTTCCACTGGAGAAGGATGGGCAAACTCGTCCCAGCGATTTACTTCCTCTGAAAGCCTGCTGGAGTGTCAGCTATGAGTGGGTTCCAACTCGAAGTATTCTTGAGTCCCCAATAATACTTTCTCATAATTGTCATACAATGTTTAAGACTATGTGGAGGTATATCTTAGAAGTTTATTTTCACTTCTCTTCAAGAAAATGATACACCAGGAAGATATTTGGCCTAAGTTTAATACAATAGATTTTCATTTCTAGGAGGATAATGGTTATTTTGCCTCTTCTCTTAATATTAAATTGGAAAAATGGATATATCACTCTGAGTGGCAGAAGTACGTTGCATGGAGAAGAATGGAAGAGAAAAATGTTATGATTATTAATAACCTCAAAACAGTCTGTAATGAATAAAGCTGATTCCTTCAGTGAGAAACAGCCAAGTCTTATGTTGTTGGGGTTTCCAGATTTGTTTGTGTCAGGTACTGGCATGTTGGTGAAGGGGGAGTGGAGTGGAGTCACATCCGGGACTTAGCAGAATGACCGAGATCAGTTCACATAAAACCTCTTGCTTTCAGATGCTACAGTAGTAAGTTCTTCCAGGAGAATCGCACAAGTCAGTCACTCTCTAGTCAAGTTCTGTCATCATCGTAGCCTTTCTTTTCTGTGGGAAGAAAACAACCAACTCTCCAGATGAAATTAGTCTAGGACAATTTAATTTAATGTGGGATTTTCTGGACGTCAGTAAACAATCTGTTAGTAACTCGCAGCAGAAGGTCACTAGATTTCTAAGAACGTGCAGTGTCTGTGTGTCTTTATTGAGGATACTTAAGGGGACGGGGAGACTAGGGTTGCAGCATGTGCACATGCAGAGCGTTCTTGGGAGTACAGGAAGTAGGACTGAACAGAGCAAGCAGCTGCACTCTATTGTGGCTGAACCGAGGTCTCACCTGAACCCTGTGGAAACTGAGCCTAGTGGGAACTCTGAGCTTCAGGTTGTCAAACACTGAGGCAAGGTGATGGGTTTTCGTTCCTTTATTCTGAGTTTTCTTTGCATGAGGACTACTAGGGAAGAAAGCATGATCGGAGAGCCTGAACTGTAGGTCATTCAATGCAATTTATTACCATGGACTTGAAACTGACTCATAACTGACCTCCCGGCAGGTTTCCAAAGCTTTAAGTCACACGGGGAGACGATTGCCCATCTTTCTCCTAGGCTGCTGCCGGTGAATTGAAACCGAGAAGCTCTGGCTTTGAATGAGCCCTATAAATGCTTTATCAGTTGCACTATCAGAGGTCCATTTCTAAGGCATTCTCACCTTCCTGTGCTGGTCACCGGGAGCCAGCAATGCCATCTCAGGTGGGGCAATGAGTGGCTTGGTCTTGAAAGGTGTAGGTGGCATTTTGCAGTGTCCACTTATAATACGGTACATATGTCTATTTGAATGCTCTAATTATATTTATAAAAGCAAAAGAGATTGAGTGCTTGTTAACTCTTCTCAGCTGGACACAAAATCTTAGTGGTTTCCAGAGTAGAGCAAGCATTTCCCAGAAATTTGTACAAGATAGTTGACTGGAATTTAAGAGGGAAAAAGAGAGTTTCAGTAGATATTATTTCCATCTGTTTCTTTCAAAATCTAAATTGCTACAAAAGTTTGTAGTAGTGTTATTCAACATTGCGAGAAAATGGAAACAGCCCAAAGGTCTAACAGGAAAGAAATAATCACACTTGTACAGTAGCTTACATTTAAAACATCTGTCATTATCCAAAGAGAATGTATTAGCAGTTAAATTTCTAACAAGTACTGTTAGTTGCACATGATGGTGACCCACTAGTTAGACCTTCTGAATGAAATATAAGAATATCACAGCAATTTTCTACATTTATTTTATTACAAAAGTAATAACTATTAAAGTTTCACTAAAAGTAGTGGGTTTAGATAACCTTTAATTTCTTCAAATTTAATAGTTTTAAAACATTTAAGACTATTACCCTGTTATGTTGTATATTCATTTTTATAGAGAGTGAAACTACTTTAGAGAGGTATCTTCATGTGCAATATAAATTTCTTGTAAATCTGAAAAAAAACAGCAATAGCATTATGATTTACGCCTATAATATTAGTATGTATTTTTATAATATGGATCCCAATCATCACAGGGTACTAGGTTCAGGCATGAACCAGGCACTCATTTATTGTAGGAAGTGCTTGTGATAGACGAACTTGTTATCTTTCCCTCATTCTGGTCTTAGGATGTTGTTGTTAGGTGCCATCAAGTTAAGTACAACTCGTAGCGACCCTATGAGCTTGAATCCATCCTGTCCTGTCCTGTGCCATCCTCACACTTGCTGGCACACAAGAACCCATTGCAGCAGTCACCACATCAGTCCAGTGGTTGAGGGTCTTCCTCTCCTTCGCCAACCCTCTACCCTCCTCAGCATCATGTCCTTCTCCAGTAGCACCTCCTAACAACATGCCCAGAGTATGTGAGGTAAAGCCTCATCATTCTTGCCTCCCGGAGCGCTCTTGTTGCACCCTTTCCAAGACATATGTGTTTATTCTCTTGGCCATCCATGGCATGTTCAGTGTTCTTCTCCAACACCACGGATCAAAGGTGTTGATTCTTTTTTCTGCCATCCATATTTGTGGCCCAGCTCTCGAATGGACGGCTACTAATCAGAGAGGACACAGCCTGAATCAGACATACCATAATCTTCAAACTAACATCATTACTCCTCAAGAATTTGGAAAGGTCCCTAATGGCAGACTTTCCCAGTGCAATGTTTCTCCTTATTTTCTTACTGCTTGTACCAATGGTGTCAGTTGTGGATCCAAGCAAGATGAAGCTGTTAAGAGTTTAAATCTCCTTTCCTTCCATCATGACACTGCCTGTCAGTCCAGTGGTAAGAATCTTTGTTTTCTTGATGTTTCAATGTAATCCACACTGAAGGCTCCATTCCTTCATTGTCTGTAACAAGTTTCTCAAATCCTCCTCACTTTCAGCAAGCAAGGTTGTGCCATCTACATAATGCAGGTTATTGATGAGTCTCCCTCCAATCCTCATGTTACACTCCTCCTCATAGAGTCTAGTTTCTCAGATAATTTGCTCAGCTTACAGATTGAATAGGTATTGAGAGAGAATACATCCCTAGTGCACTCCCTTCCCAATCCCAAACCATGCAGTGCTACCAACATGGTTCATAGTCATTTTAGAATGATAACAAAAGCCATTTAAATCTCAATAGATGGTTATATAAAGTTAGTGTTTGTAAAGAAATAAGTGCATTGAAGTTTCTAAATTTGATTCTGGGATATCTTCAAGAGCTCCTAGCCACTTAGGAGAAAATAAACTCTCTTGGAACATTTTCTAATTGTAAATAGCTTACAATGGGGTGATCCATAACCAGTCAATCAAAATTGATTGTTTGGTTGCTAATTGCAAGTGATTTGATCATGAGGTGTCTCTGCCTTTATTAACTTCGTTACCTTCTATCACTTTTACTTAACCCTTCCCTTGCTTAGGACATTCACCACAGCACCCTGATTTCTTAGCTTACAAATCTACTACAGATCAATATTATGTCCCAGATTTACAGTATTAAAATTCCAGAAAGACCGACACTCCTTGACCGTGTATTAGTTATGCAGTAGTCACTAAAAGCATTGAGATACCTTTTGCCTCAGAAGAAAACACTTAAAAAACACTCAATATTTTGGACTGATTATCTAATTTAGCAATTACTTTAAGTAATTTAAAAATTCAATGAGGGCTTGCTTTTATGAGTATGTGGCATAACACAGTGACTTCAGTAATGACCATTTCTTCTTTCTTTCTTTTTTTAAAAATCAATTGCCAGCATAAAACCAGCCATTTCAGTTCGTGTCCAATCAACTGGAAATGTAAAGTGAAGAACTCTTTTTAAAATAATGGGTTTGGAGTTGGCCACCTATAATTTCCACTTATTATTTAAAGATTATGTAGTTGTTTTATGTTGGATTAGAAAATGGACTTTATTCACTTAGATGTTGCTGATCTTATAATTATTCTTACTCATTAATATCTTAAATATCTATCTGCCAGCTTTTCTCTTAGTAAAAAAGTTTGAAAACTTTAGAAAATTGTACTTTTTATGCTTTCTATTTAGGTTAGATGATCAGGAAAAGCCACAATCTGCCACAACAGATAAACAGCAGCTGATAAATAAAGTGTGGTGGTTCTCACCCACCCAGCTTCTCCATTGGAATAATCCTGCAGGTTTGCTCTTACAAATGCTGCAAAACGTCATGTAGTTTTACTCTGTCATGAGGTAGCTATTTGTTGAATTCATCTCACTAGCACCCAACAACTACAGGAAAAACCACAAGCCTTTTAAAAGTTAAAACATTTACATCTTACATATTAAAAATAGTGTAGAAATATGGCTTATTACACAAAATAAAATTCCTAGTTATAATCAGATCTACTACATTCAGGCTGATTTTTCAAAGCCAAAATAATTGGACTCTTTCAGAACTTTGAATCTAAAAGACAGATATGCAGCATTATATCACCAATAAGCAGAATAAGTGAGAAAAAGAGTGCTTTCATAATTACTTGGCATAATGACCTAGTCAATAACATAAAAAATTTAAAACAAACAAATGAATTTTCCTGTCGTTTTCTATGTTTGCTGCAGTAAATTCAATGTGATTTAAACAAAAAATAAATAAATAAATTAAAAAAAAAAACAAACAACAAACCAAAAGCCTAACCTTGGGATTAGCACTAGTCACTACAATTAAATTGCTAAACAAATTAGCAGTATGTCTAAAATTATCTTATGGAACCCCTTTAATCACCAAATCTAATTTTGATATATATTGTTTGTTGTTGTGACATAAGGGATCTCATTGCTGACTTCAGATGCTCTTGACTGAAAGCAGAGAATACTGGAAAGATGTTTACTGATGTTTTATTGACTATGAAAACATTTGACTGTGTGGATTATAACAAATTATGACTCACATTGAGAAGAGTTGGAGTTCATACAACACCTATACATAGACAAAAAACGTTGTCCAATCAGAACAAGGGGACACTACAAGATTTAAAACCAGGAAAAATTGAAAACCAAATAAAAAAAGCTATCCTCTTTAAAAAAATTCAGGAAGATGTGTGTCAGGGCTGGATGCTTTCTCCATACCAATTGAATGGGTCTACTGAGTAAATAATTCAAGAACTACACCATATGAAGAAGAATGTGGCATTAAGATTGCAGGGAGACTCATAAAAAAAGAACAACAACAACAACAACCACCAAATTTGTGTTATATACATGTCCCAACCTCACTTTCTGAGAGTGGAGAAGACTTGAGAGACTTGGTGCAGACAATCAAAGACTATAGCCTTCAATGTGGATTATATCTAAACATAAAAAAACCAAAAACACCTAAGTACTGGACCAGTAGGCATCATTGTGATGTTGTTGTTGTTGATTGCCACCAAGTAGAGCACGACTCACAGCGACCTTATGAACAAAAGGCTTGAAGCCTTTTTATAAC